AAAAAAAATGTGATGTTCATGATAAATTTTGATGGCTGTTCCCAATCTAAAAGCATTTCTTTAAACATTAAAAGTCACATAACTTTATACAGTTTCACAATTCTTTAAAAGTGAACACATCAATTCTGAGCCTCACTGAGCAAGTTGATTAATTTACCCTTCATTACAGACAGCATCTGTGAATGTGAAAAATACAGATATTTTACTTTCAGAGGGTAAGTGTATGATAGTGTTCCTTTTTCTGTCAGGTACACTTGAGGCTACCCACAGTGATTTTTTATTGTTTTTATTAGTGATGTGCAACATATACTTAATGGACAAACCTCTACATATCAATTACCAACTCAACAGTCTAAGTATATTACTTGTTTTGGCTGCATTCTTCTCCAATGACCAGGGTGCACATGCATGGCATGGTAGAGTCCAACCCAAAGGAGCAGAACCCCAGTGCACAGATCACAAACCCCCTTTGGCTTCACTAAAAATTAATTGAGACAGTGGCATATGAAGCAAATTTTTGCTAAATTCAAAGTAAAATTGCTTAAAATCAGGAAGGTCTTCAGAAGCTTAAACATGCAGTACCTAAATAATTACTTTTTAAATGGGATATATGTGGTTTATGGAGAATGCCTCTCCTTTAACCATTAAGAACTTTTTTTTATCACAAATCATTCTTTAAAGGATTGCTTGGAGTTAGAAAATCTCAAGATGGTAGCACTCTGGAAGATACTCAGACTCATGACCTATCCTCCCCACCTAGACCTTTGACATTGATGGAAGTCCAAGAGAATATCTCAAGGTTGCCAAAGGTAAAGAACCTGGATGTAGCCAGCTGTTTTTAGATTTATCGTTATTTTTATTGATAAGGACTGTATGTTCTCTAATTGGTTTGTTAAGATATTTAAGCATATGGGTAGTTTGATTTTCTTTATTTGATATATTTAACATTTTGAAAATTGATAGTAGGATTTTCTCTTCTTTATTCAGGATGTCAATGTTGCCATGGAGAGCATAACTGTTACTTTTCTAAACAAAGATAAAAGGTATTGTTGTTTTTGTTGTTGTTGTTATTGTTTTTGTTGTTTTAATTTCAAGGTTTATAAGGCCTACAATCTAAGTCTTTTTTTTGTTTTCCAGAAAATTTGTGTTGGAGGTAAACCGAGTAGACAGCCATCTTCATTCTCAGGAAGAGTTAGATACGAACTCATCAGATACCACTCAGTGTGGTTTGAGTTTACAGATATCAGGTAGTGTTAGTAACAGTAATCAATCAGCTTTTGGTTTGGAGTCACCTTAAACATGTTGTCTGTGATTATTATAATTGCATATTTTACATTTGATTTTCTCCTTCATCAATCCCAGGAGCAACTGCTAGAAGTACACAATCTCACAAGATTTTTGAATGGACCAGGCTTAGAATTACCTCAAAGGTACTTATAGAAAACAAAGACATGCACTCAAGAAAACATCCTCCTGAAATTATGATATTACTCCACTGGTTCCAATCATGTGGCAGACTGGTGCAGTAAACTGGGAACAAACAACAGTCATGTTTAAAGTTTCTTTTCAGTATGGTTCCTGTCAAACCATGTCTTTATCCATCATTCAATATAAATTTTTGACAGTTTTCTTTATTTAAGGGAGCTTATCTCCACACATCTGGAGGAGGGAGGGGAGAAGGGGAATCAGTTTTCCTGTTATACACACTTCCCATCAATTTGCATTTTTTTTTTGTCATTCACAGCTTTCTTGCCCCTATGATACCATGGCACTAACTTCTACGTTACACGTGGAATCTGTTCACTACACACATGTCCAGGAGGAATTTGTTTATTGGTTGGAATACTTCAAGTCTAGAAGAAAACATATGTCACTGAAAAAAATAACTGCTCCAGAACTTACAAAAATTGATCAACAGTAAGTTGTTCATTCTGAAAAGTAACTGACTTTTCTCTTTTTGCTGATCTAATCATTGTTGTTAATTTGATATATGCTTGTTCTCCTCTTGTTCCTTGAAGGTCAAAGATAAGTATTTTGTCCAGACTTCCTGCAGAGTTGGAGGTGACAACCTCCATAGATATGACAGATTGCTCCACAAGTATGTTCATTTCCCTTCCTCATCAAAATGCTCAGCCCTTGAGTCAAGCTGTGTTTACATCGCTCACTGGGGATGTCAAAATGTCAGCACAAGGTAAATTGGGATAACTTACTTTGACTGGACTTGCTTGTAAGTTTTGTGGACAAAAAAATCATGCAAATAAGTTATCATACATATGAGTCTTGTGCACAAAATTTCTTACTGCTGGTACCACTGGCCCACAAGAGGGTGACAGAGGGTCTTGATGCGATGTTCAATGAAGGCCAACATTGATATGTGACAAAAAGACAGGTATGATGGGTGAATTTACTAACAAGTACAAAGGAATCATTTGCCTCCTTAAGTGTTAGTGACATGTAAATTTTTTCATATTTTTCTCAAGATTTCCTTGAAACCTTGTACACAAGAGAAGAGATTTGAAGTTTTTCCCTTTTATATGACACATGACTTTTTTTTTAACATTTATGCATGAAACATGAGAGGGATCGCCTGCCCCCCATTCCACCTCACCCCACCTTCCTACTCTCACATGAGATGGGGTTTTTTGTTGTTTGAGCTTTCAAAGTCAAAACAAACAGACTGCAAATGGTGAATTAGGGATTGTCTCAATTTTTTTTGTCTGTTATCTAAACAGATTTGCATCATGTTACCACTGGAAGGGAGCTGAGGTAAATAATAGTGTAGTGTGTTTGAATTTTCCTTAAATGCACACAGTATTGTAGTAGAGGAGCAGGATATACTGGGACTATGTTTCACCTCTCCTTGGGTATCATGGAAGTTGGTTCTGATTCATTTGATTCCAATTCATTCTTAACCTGTTTCTAGACAAATATTTTAAAATACTTCACTATTATTCACCAAAGTGGAGCTGAAGAGTGGTGGATATTTACAAAGCAACCAAGTTACAAGGGAGATATCCACCTCTTTCACCAACTCTGAGGATAATAATTGATAGTATATGCCACACGAAAACCAAAAAGTCATTTTTGTTTTTGTTAATATACTGAAAAATGGTCAGAAATACATCTTGATGCGTGATTTTGTCTCTTTGGCTGCTGAGAGGTGAAGAGTACTTGCTAATCAATCAGTGCATGCAATGAGCACTATTCACCTGTATGAAAAATACTAACACTTTTCATGTGGTGTTCCTGCCAACCAGTATCAACCTACAACTGGAAAACTGTTATCTATATATGGATACAAGTCAAACAGCTTTTGTTGAAGTTTCTAAGAATAGTGTTTTATTAAACACTTTACAAGACTATCAGTCCCTTCTTCCAAGTTCTTCTAAACATGTCTGGGGCAGAGTGCTAGCTCTTGGAGGCTGCAGCGTTAAGGTAATCTTGAGTGCTATTGCATTAACATTATGTAACACTTCACTGATACCTGCTCCCCATTTATGATTCTGTGTATTGAGAGGTGAGGCGTAAATGATCTGTTTTGCCTAAGAACACAACAGATGAATCCAGTCTGAACTCATACCTGAACCTGCCCATGTAGTTATTGTATTTTTCTCTTTTCAAAATGATATCCATTTTCAATTTTGATAATGGCTGTAAGTTTCCATTTGTGTCTATTTTAGGTGACAACTGAACTCATGGAAGGTATTGAGATACCAGCCAGTGTTAGAGTGACTGGCGAAGTGAGTTCATTGTTCCTTGAGTGGTCACATGATGTATGCAGATTGTTGCTTGAGTGGTTGAAGCTGAGTTCTTTTAAATCTCAAAATACTACAGAGGAAACAAATTCCACAAGCAGACACATAGGTATAAATCACTGAAAAAAAATAAGTGACTATTATGCCATTCTTAAGACGTGTGCTGGTACTTAAATGATTTCAGATGAAAGTTAGAAAAAAGCTAGTCATTTTTCAAGCTGCATAGGCCTATGGCATGAGTGCAAGTACTAATCTTTAGAAAAATTTTCAAGTGCTAACTTTTACCTAAAAAGCATAAGAAATAACTGGGTTACTTGTTTTAAGATGATAACGTGGTATTTGATATTAATATTTTTCCTTAACTTTTTTGCACTTTTTTCAATGAAAAAATTTGTAATGCATGAGTGTAACTCTTATGTTCAACCTCATTTGCAATTTATATAGTGTAATGAATTTTTTTTTCTTGACAGTGCTTGATTTGGATTTTAGAGTTTCTGCAGTTAACTTGTTTTATCTTGGAGGACTAGAAGGTTAGAATGTCATTTTATCACCCAAGATGGGATCATTTTTACCAGATGGGTGTATATGTTCGTTGTGGATATAATGGTCAATGAGTACTGAATTAATCACATCATAGAACAAGGTCTCTAACAATTGTACATCATGAGGTTTTTTCAGCTATTGTTTGTCTAGTCTTTTTCTGGCAATAATGTTAAATGATGTTAGCATGATTTTTAGGGACTAATGGTGGGTCTAAGTCTGCTTTATAGCTTTTGTGTGGATGCACGGTGGTCTCATGGTTAGTGTGCTCTGGTCCGGGTTTGAGCCCTAGCCATGGTCATTGTGTTGTGTTTTTAGGCAAGACACTTTACTTTCACAGTGCTTCTCTTCACCCAGGTGTACAAATGGGTACCAGCAAATATGCTGGGGGTAACCCTCTGATGGACCAGCATCCCATCTAGGGGGGAGTAGCAATACTCCACTTCAAGCTAAAGGAAACTGGAGTTAAGCACTGGCCCTATGGGCCACTTGGGCCTGTATAAAGGCTTTACTTTTTACTTTCACAGCTTGATCATCACCTTACCAAGTGTACACTAAAATTTATCACTTTGTATTGCACAGGAGGAGTGGATTCCTTTATGATGAGAGTTGATATGGTAGTAATGAATGCAACATCAATTCCTGAATGGTCAATTAACAATGAAATCTTTGGAATGAAACTATGTCGTCTGATTGGATTAGAAAAGGTACGAGGTGTTTCTCTGAGATAAGCATGGCCTTCTTTCTCCCTCTTCTTCTTTATTGCTTCATAGTTTCAGTCCCAATAAGAAAGACTGCTTGTTGGTAAAGTTGGACAGTGAAGCTCCTTAAGTATATATTTTCTTTAAGAAGAATTACCAGACTAAACTCTCTAAAATTACCCTCTCTATTTTCTAAAGTATTTGGGACTTTTTTTTTTGTTTGCTGACAGGTGCCATACAAATGTGTCGTCTCTGTGGAAATAGATAGTGACCTTCTCAGCATCCCTTTTGCTACTGTTTCAATTTCAGGAGAAAAGGTGAGATTGATATCACATCTTCAACAATTATTGCTGAGGGAAAGGATGGCTTGCTGGATAATGCTGAGTGATTATGCCAAAATGTGCTCTAATGCTCAGCCACTTAGAGTACACACAGCATTTCTTTATTCATCTAAGCAATTATTTCTTATTTTTGAATTCCTCAAAACAGATTCTGTTTGCCCCCTTTCCCAAAAGTGCATGCTTAGTGGCCTTCTTGTCCTTGTGAAAGTCTTGTTTTAATTATTTTGTACTGGCCAGAAAAGCTAATGTACTTGAAAGTAAAAGAAAGGTTACCAGGGTGGCTATTTTAAAAAAGGTTTGTACTCATATTAGTAAAACAAATAGTTTTTGTTTACATTTCATCTTACAGACTTGTTTGATGTCTATTAAAGAAATATTGATAAGTTGGGATTCCACTTTACACATGGCCATTCATGAAAGAATGAAAGAACTAACTGATGATGGTGCTGAACTGAGAGGTAGGCAGATGTTTATATGGGACAAACTAGAGCACATGATGTAAGGACAATAAAGGAGGACCAATTACATCTGTGTGATTTGGAAACTTTGAGTCCCAACACATAGATTCAAACCTGTTACGGGAGTGAGAAGATTAAAATACACAGCATGTAACGTCCCCTCAACTTTTTATTCTTTCTTCAGTTGATGCTTCTTGAATCTCACAGATCATTTACGTACTGCTTTGCTTTCTTACAGCTTTACTACAAGCATCTGTGAAAGATACTGAGAATTGTTCTCCACCAGAAAAAGAAAGCATACCCCTTCATCTTGTCTGCAACATTACATGGGTTAAATTTCAGATGCAAACTTCACCAAAGACCAGGCATGTCTCTGTCCTGCCTAATTAACTAAAACACAATAATTTTCCAGCAAGCAGATCATGTGCTGTCTGTATTTACTATATCAAGAAATTGTTAGAAATGTAATAGTTTCTGTTTTCTTGATTTTGCTACAGCTTTGGTGTCGAATGCAAGATTTGTTCATTGTCATTGGAAAATGGTGGACTGGATATGAAATCTGACTATACTGGTTTACTCTTTGATAATCAAAGCATATTTAAATTTGAGGTGGGGTTTGTTTCAATTTCAAAGTTAAGATGATCACGTTGTCTGTTTCTTGTTTTCTGGTGTGTAAACCCTTTTTTTCTTCTTTAGGCTTCTGTAATGGTATTGACTGCTACTATTTAAAGGTATGCACTTGATTGGGAACTGAAAGGTTTGCATTCAAGTGCTGACTGGGAGTTTGGATAAAAGCTGTCATCAGGCAGTCTACTGCTGCCCATAAGACCTCTAACCACTGTCTGTTTAGCATACCTCCAGAATCCCCTTCAGTGGAGAAAGTGGCATTAAATTTCTGGGCACAGCCACTTCTTACACAATCAGCAGCCCCTTATGGAAAAAGTTATTTAAGCCCCTGACTGATCGGCATGTTGGAGTTGGTGTTGTGGGTAACACTCTCTTCTCACACAGTGTCTTGTTCACTCAGGGGTGTGAATGGATACCACCCAATAGTCTTTTCATTAAAATGCTACTTGCTTAGTAAATTTGCAACAACCTTAATGTAATGTTTGTTTTTACTCAGACAATTTCTATTAAGAGACTTCAGCAAGTCGAGGAGGTTCTGAAAGTGAGACAACAATTCAGGGAGCTGAAAACACAAAACAACACAACATGGTTTGTATAAATATTTAGAGTGATAATTTATACAATTGTATTTGTATTAACTCAATCACTGAGCCTGCATTCATCACAAAAAACGTAGGTAAACCACTACTCAGTAACTTTGGTTGCAAGATAAGTTGTTGTATCCTTGCCCTACTGGAATGGCTTAATTTTATTACCAACAAACTAGGTTTTTATTAATGCACTGAATCATCAATTTTTCCATAGGATTATTCAGGCAGAAATGACACAAGTCTGTTTTCCTTTCATGTTTAATTTTGCTGCTTCAAGAGATGAGGTTTGCCCCTTTCTTAATTCCCTACATTGTACATGAATTCTCCACAGGGCAAAGCCTGTGAAAAAATGTGTCAATTTTTTAAGTGTTTGTGTTATTCAGGAGAGTAGACACAGCAGCATGGGGTGAGTGCCAGGAAATTATGAAGGCTCAGATGCACTTGCTTTACACTTGCAACAGCTTGCTTGAAAAATAAAAAAAAAAGAAATTGATGTTGTGAAGGTTGCACTCAGCCACTCAGCTGGATTTGTTTCTTAGCAATATCAAGTTAATCACCTCTGCTTGTACATAGACAAATGCTTTGCCTTCAGCCAGGGTGAATATTTGGATTTGAACTGTTTCATTTTTTTATACTCAGTGTCCCCACTTAGGAAAGAGCCATACTCTTCCATAACATTATTAGTAAATTCAAAGATAGTATTAGTGTTGTTTTTCACAGGCTTACCACTGCCTCTTTTCAGCTTGTTAATGTGTTTAAGATGCTAAAGTCACTTCACGGTAAACCCAAGGATGAGTCCTACGTCGAACAACTTCCTCCAGATTTATGGCTTAATTTTGAGGTAAATGCATTGGGTCATTTTAATTTTAGATGTATTGAATGTTAGAAAATACAAAATATATGGTTGAAACTTTTATTTATTGTATAACATTCATTACCAATACGTTTTATTTTGTTCTTATCCTTTTTTCCTTAACCCCAAATAATGTTTTCAATTTAAAGAGAATAACCTTTGAGATTGAAGATGATCCATTCGAAGTCAAGTTGAGGGACAACTATGCTGTATGTACACTTTTAAAACAGTTTCTTTCATGTAATAGTGTAGTTTGAACGTCTGGGTGAGTGTAGTCCTGAGAAGGACTGTTATCGGTAGTGGTGATTGACGTTTCGACAACCTGAGCGGAAGTGGCATTTGGTATAATCAACTGAGTTGATAACGTAAATTGGCCACTGTTCAGAGTTTGACAGCTGACGTTTCGAGTGTTAGCCCTTCGCCATTCGCTCTCAGCTGACGAACGACTAACAATCGAAACGTCAGCTTTCAAACTCTTAACCCTTTAACTCTTAAGATCTGATTGTTAATTCTCTCCTCTAGCTGCTATACATTTCCTTGTAAATTAGTTATGAGAACTTGGTGCTAGATCAGATAGCAGCTTCTACCTGATAAGTTCGAATATTCTCAGTACCTGTTTGCTGAAGAATGTATGGATATTATAGGGAGAAGTTTCATGTCAATCACTTCTGGGAATTAAAGGGTTAATGGTGGCCAATTTACGTTATCAGCTCAGTTGATAATACCAAATGACCTTGCCATACTCTCCCACCGACGCAGCACCAAAGTTTTTTGAAAAACTACTCGCCTTATTCGGTATTGTAATGATGTTTCTAAAGACGGGGTTTGTTCAGGCCTGGATGGCCCTCTGGATTGTATGCGGATATTATTTTGGTACAATTGTATTTTTTCCTCTTTTTCCTCAGTTACTGCTTGATGAGATGGAACAGTGGGACGAGAGACAGCAGCTACTGGCAGCTAAGTTAGATGAGATCCGAAAGAAGCCTGGAAACTTACTAACAGGTTAGGTTACCTGAAGAGGCGGTTATGGGAGTCCAGTGGCACAGAGGGGTTTTGCTTCGTTAAATAACAAATGAGATGATCTGTAATACAAATTATCATAATCATGAAAAGAATATGGCATAATCCTGAGAGTCAATATTACCAGGAGCCAAATCAGAACTTAATATAAACATGCGTGGATGATCGTAGGAGTGAGGACACGAAGTTAGCAAGTTGAGAATGGTTTTCGTTTTGCATATGATAAGGATACAGCAAAGCTTTCCCAGACGAGTGGCAGCGCGCAGTGACGTAAACGGATCATTACAAATACACACTTTCAAAGCTCCCTTGAAACCTGCTTTATCCTTATTTTGACTTCCTATGAATATCTTGGCCTCAAAAGGATTGAGGGATACTGTATTTAAGTTCTGAAACAACTGGAAAACATAACAACATTTAAAAACTACAAGTTTTGCTGTGCCAACCAAATTCGTCAGAGAATGAAATGTTTACAGGGGAGATTCTGATTTGATTGAATTTGTTATAATAGTGAAAAAAGAAGAAGAACTGAAGCGGTCTTTAGAGGAAAAAAATTCTCAGATCTACATTCGAAGGTCCCAGGTAAGTCACACGTGAAGGTTCACATCACGTCTCACACGTATCTTACCTTGTAATTCGTATCACGAAAGAAAGATTTTAGATATTCCTTTAGACAGATTTCGTGAGAATTCTTCCGATCAGGTGACATGCATGTACTTGTGTTACCCTGTAACAAAGCGCCAACCAGGGAAGCCATGGATTATCACTCTCTCATTATCTTCTTTACCAGTTCTTCTACAAGTATCGCGTGATAGTAAGGTTATTTTAAAGTTGACCAAGAAGACGATCCTTAGAAGGTTTTATTGACTGAAGGAATAAAAGTGTCCCTGAGGTTACAACCTTAGCTTATCCGCCCCGTCCATCCCCTCC